GCTTTGCGTGACCGTCGCGCCGAAAGGATGACATGTACAAATCGACAATTGTTTTTTTTTTTTTTTTTTGCGGAGTTTGTACGCCCACGAATTGTTCAAATACAGAAAGAAGTTCGAATAACGGAGTTGGTACGCGCACGAAGTGTTGAAATCCACACAGAAGTTTGAATCCGTGTAATTAATCGGTCAGAGGGTAGGTGATGCTGGGGACAAGCGAATCGTCGCAGAGGAGATTCGGGCGGGGACACGTCAGCAAAGGGCGCGCGACGGGGAGAGCTTGACACACATGTCAGCAAAAAGGTGGGTTGTGGGAACTGGATTGCGCACCAACTTGCATGACACGTGTCTGCCTGTCGGCCTGTCAGCCTGCCGTCTCATCGACAAGCGCTGACCTGTCATCGCTTGACACGTGTCTGCCTCTGCTCGCATGACACGTGGCAGCCTGTCGTCGCCTTTGGGCCACGGAGCTGTGTCTGGTGGGTTATGGTAACTGGAATGCGCACCGGCAAGTGGCTGAGGACACGTCATCGCATGACACGTGTCTGCACGTGGTCGCATTTTGACACGTGTCTGCCTGTCGTCGCATGCACAGGACACGTGTCAGCCTCTCGTTATGTTGTGGGCACGGAATGACACGTGTCTCTCTTGTTCGTCCCGCCTGTCTTTTCTCTCGTAACGGCGCCTTATGGCGACCGTTTTGGGGGCAACTCCGTGATTAGCTGCCCGTTTTTATGACACGTGTTTTCTCTCCGTTAACGGCACGTAACGGCGACCGTTTTGGTGGGCCTCTCTTCGTTTTTGTTGGCGCGGAGCGGGAGGTTGTCTTCCAGCTGGCCTTTCCTTACGTAACGGGGAGTAACGGTGACCGTTTACGTGGTTGCTCCGGGATGACCCTTGCCGTTTCGCGCTCCAGTTCAAGGGCATAACTCACACCAGGACTTTTCTACAGGGTTCTGGACGTCATGGTGGTCGGGTACATCCGGGTCCGGTCGTAATTGCGATCAGATGCATACAAGATAGGAATAGTGTGAGTATGTTGTAAGTACCCCCTTCCCTTTCCCTTTCCTTATCGCAAAATGTTCTCGGCTTGCTCCCGAATAAGCGACAAAACACAGAAAAAGGTTTGAAAAAACACAAAAAACGACGACAAACAACAACCCCCCCTCCCCCTCCCCCTCCCCCTCCCCCACCCTCCCCGACTTTCCCTCCCCGAGTCTCCGACTTAGTTTGGCCACTGTGATCGGACCGTAGCGCAGGAATAGGTAACGGAAAAGATATGATATATATATCTATATATGTATCTACGACGATATATATATATATATACGATCTATATACGATCTATATACATACGTATATATATATCCTCTGAGCGAGCGAGCGAGCGAGCGAGAGAGAGAGAGAGAGAGAGAGAGAGAGAGAGAGAGAGAGAGAGAGAGAGAGAGAGGTGATCTCACCCGCCCGACCAGCCGTTTACTGTCACCTTTGCTGTGCAGAGAGTTCCTACGGGGATACTCTCTCTAGGACGACTTTTTTTCGACCGACTCCTGGACGTGATTGCATTCACATACATCCAGATCCATCCATTATCACGTTCAGATACATCTTTCTTTTGGGAAATCCTGATGTGAATGTACTGCTCTGAACTCGAAGATCTTTCCATGTATTCATCGGGCCTTGATCCACACTCAACACATGCACACACACACAAAAAAAAAAGAAAAGGCAATGTATCTTTCCATGTTCTAGCGAAGGATTCATTCTCATTTTTGTTGCACAGTTGGTGAGTAGTGGAGTAATACAAACCATCATCTCCCTTCCCTTCCTTTCTTCGGGCCATCCTCCAACGTTTCGAATGCACCAGGACTGAATTCCGGATTAGATTCATTCAGAATTTTGGCGGATGGCGAGTAGTGCAACCAGGACCTTCGGCTGTCATCTGTCGATCGATTGGGAGCAAGGCTGATTCCTTTTTTTTTTTTTTTTTTTTTTCCTTAAAATAAAATGTTACTTATCGGCGGGATGAACGAGCTGATCGGATTGTTATGTAACTGGCCGTAATTGCAGTCAGATGCAATTAGGGAGGTGCTACTAGGTGGAGGGCATACTCACACTAGCCAGTTTCCAAAATGCATCTGACTGCAATTTCGACCAGACCTGGATGAATCTGACTGCAATCACGTCCAGAGCTTTGTGGGAAAAAAAGAAGTCCTGGTCTGAGTATGCCCTGATTGTCACGCTTGGCTGGCTTTTGATAATTAATCCCTTTTTCTTTTTCCTTGTTCTCTTAAATAAAAATGAAAAAAACATTTGCGTGAGTTGAGAATGAGCTCGACTCGATCGATGACGTGTTGTAGAACGTCTGGTGAAGCAAAAAAAAAAAAAAAAGAC